TATATATATGTTTCCTTATGCCAGTTACCACACTGTCTTGATTACTGTAGCTTTGTAGGTTTTGGAATTGGGAAGTGTGAGTCCTCCAACTAAAATTTATATTTTAAAGACAATGCCAACAAGAGTTGTTTAATGGATTTGATGGGGAGTATGGAAATATAACCTTTGGGACTTTTTGAAACCCTTGCCCTTTGGAAACTGTGTTGGCCAAAGGAGACGCTTCCTTCTTCCTGGTGGCTCTTTGGGGGTCGCAGGAGATAAGCCACCTCCTCCAACTGGATGCTCCTGGGGAGGGTCACCTTTGCAGGCAGTCAACATGGAGAAATTACACGCTGTGTTTCTCTGTTGTTTGGAGAGCTTAAAGGGAGAGAATAAGTGCTCTGCAAATATTTACTGTTGCCGTGCTGTCGATAGAAACCAATCACAGAGAACACTGCTTGGCAGGTCTGTGTTGTGGATCTGTGTACAGCCGCTATGCTCAACACAGCAGTCTCCAGCCGTAGGGGACAGTTGAACACCTAAAATGTGGCTAGTACAACTGAGGAACTGAATTTCAATTAATTTAAATTTATATTTAAAAACTGGGACTTGCCTCAGTTATTAGAAAATGTTTAAGTATGTTTAGAATAATTTGAGCATACGATTTGCTTTTTCAACTGAGTTTTATAAAATATAAATACAGATCAAGTATTTCTGATGAAAATTTAGCATGAGATTTTCAGATTGAGATGCGCTGTAAGTGTAAAATACTCCCCCAAATTTAAAAAAACTTCATATGAAAAAAGAATACAGAATATCTCATTAATAATTTTATATTGATTACATGTTGAATTGACAATATTTTGGACATAGTGGATCAAGTAAAGTACTTTATTAATAACACCAGTTCTTTTACCTTTTTTTAATGAAGCTACTAGAAAATTTAAAATTATATCTGGCGTATACTATTTATTGTAGACAGAGCTGCTCTAGATGTTTTAATGACGAGCCCCCCATGCCATTTCCACCACAGAGATAATCACACAGCAGAGGAAGTGTAGTGACTTCCACCCCTGAGATTTAATGTTCCAATTAGGTGGAGGCTGTAAATGAGATTCA